CCATTACACCTCCCCCATCTGATCATTAAATCACCAATTAAATGATCCGTAAAACAACAAAAAAAAAAAACTCTTTAATGTATTAAAAAAACATGTCAACATAAACCTAAGTATTTTCTGAAATCCCAACCACAGTAATTCAATTTTTATTCCTCCCACAGTAATTACTAAACCCAAAACATAGTTATCACACAAAAGTCTTTGGATCATCTCGAACACAAACAGGATTGTCTGTTTTGATGTGTGGAAGGGTCAGAGGTGGTGTTGGTGGGGCTCTGTGACTTTTTGTAGATCTTGGTTTAGTGCCTGAGGCTGGAAGATGAGAGTTAGCTGGATTTGGGCATGGTGTTTGTTTGAAATTAATCTTGCCAGGTTCTTTCATGTTGTTAGTAAAATCCAGGAGGTGAGGAGAAGACTTTAGTTTTTACTAAAGTTTTACTAAAGTATTTTTATGATAAGATACTTGTACTTTTACTCAAGTATCACTTTGAGGTACTTTATACAACACTGTACAACTGCTTCATGAGTAAAACAATTGTTAGAATATGGCCTTAATACAACAAGACTCCAGATTTAGCATAATGTACTTTCGCTGAGCAGGTCAGACTCCTCTTAATTCACATCTGTATTATTTCTCATCAATGGGACTGCTTAGATTTTTCTCTGCAGCTTGGAACGACTCAGTTCTATAGCAGACTTGGGGTTTCATTGACAGATTTTATTTTGCTTCCTCCCAGACAGAATCTGATGTTCAGAATCCGTTTTCCTCCCCCCCTGAGGTTTTGTGAACTGCCTCCCGAAGTGTCGGTTCTAGCGTCTAAATTTCCAAGTTTTCCTATATTTCACAGCTGTCTCATTCCGCAAATGGATCTTTAATTACAGTTTTTTTTATTTCAAATCTGCAAACATCTTCTCTCGTCTTTAATTACTGCTGCTGAGCTGAAATGATACGACTTCCGCACAGATGCCGACTAAAAATATKATTTTCAACCAAAGCATCAAAATGCACATAAAGGCAAGAAAAACACATCTGTGAGCTCCAAACGGTCTGTAGATTCCTTCAGATACTGAACAAACAGTCTTTTCTTGAACTTTACAGCCTTCCACTCCTTTATTAGAAGGCAGAGTGTGACATTTGAAAGGCCCTGTGTGCAGGAACCCCACGCTCCGGTAACTTTTAGCAACAAGCAGGTCTGCTAATCGATTGGTCTCTGCTGCCTTGAATTAAATAATCAAAGCACAACAGCCCCTGGGCAACTAATGCTTTTTTTTTCCCCTCACAAGTGACCTTACCGAGGCAAACGGGTCAGAGGCAGCGCTGCCGATGCTGTCCGACCGAGTTCTAGACGATGCTGTGGTTTCACCAGCTGCTGACCTTCTGTGGTATTAAATGCAGCGTTAAGGAAAGAGCTCAACATTTAGAGAAATAATGGGTTCTATTTATTTCAAGAGCACTGCTGATTTTTTTTTCTAAAATAAAATGACAGGAGTAGACTTTTGATTAAAAAAGATGACAGCCTGCAGATGGTGTCTGGGTTCCAATTTCTGTCTTTAAAATTAATTTTCAACTGAAAAACTTTATATCGGTGCATTATACTCAACCAGACTAACAGTTTAATTTCAGTTTTTATGATAATCAAGATTAAAAAGATCCCATCTCCTTCATTTAACCCTCTGACATCAGATTGATGTTGATTGTAAATTCTCACTGTTAAAAGAATGAAACAATTGATTACACTTCAACGGATTTTTAAACAGTCTTTCAGCCTCGGAGGATTTCTCCTTTTTTTGTTCCTTCAGGAGTTTTGTTCATTTGTTTCAAAGCCGAGTGCTGCTGTCATGAGGAAATATCTTACAGCGGTTTACTGAAGCTCAGTTTTGATGTGCAGATGGAAATCCTTTGCAACAGCAGGAGAGAAAAAACCCYTAAAGCTTTATTATTTTTTTTCCCTGCAGGACCAAAGAGAGCGAAGCTTCTTTATTAGATCTAAGGAGACCAATCAGTCTTCTTTACAGCACTGTTTATTGTCCATGTTTGCACATCTGGTTGCAGTCATTTTCCCAGAGAGTGTGCAAATGTGTGAAAAAAGAGTGTTTGTGTGTCCCTGACGGCAGAAATTAATTGTTATTCCCTCGTCTTGCCCCCCCCCCTCCTCCGTCAGTCACGTCCTGTTCCCCCGTTTCTCTTTCTGACTCATTGTCACTCCGTCCTGCTTTCTGCTCAGGCTGAGCTGCACCTCCATCCCTTTGYTTTCTTTTGATCTTCAGCAGGTTAAACATCATCATGAAAGATGAAATGAGAATAATCTGGCTCATCCTTTGCTCCTTCAGCTGAGATCGATGTGATACGGCAGGAAAAAGAGAGAGGACCGTGAAAACTTCTGGTTTAGTCTCTGAACGTTCGCCCCACATCTTGACACAACAGCTGTACTGAGAAATTATCTTCTCTTTCCACATAATCTCAAATCTTTTAATTAATTTTAATGAAAGTAATGGATTAAATTAGTTTTTGGCTAAGTTTAAAATATTATTCATGACTGGAAGATAAACAGTTCAAAGAATTTAATTCCAACATTCTATCACRCAGCAAAGAAGCAGATATGAAAAGTAAAAACATGGTCAAATGTCTATTATACTCTTAACTTTTTACTAAATTGCTTCCATCATAATAATTCAGCAAGTATGTAAGGAGACTATAAGGACTAAATTTAATAAAGTAAAATGTTTTGTAAAAAAATATCCTATTTGTGACATTTTCATTAGATGTTGTTGAAATASAAATAAATACTGAGTGGATTTAAGCAGTGATTCCAAATCTGGGGGTGGGGGGGCTCCCCTACACTCAAACAGTGGTGGAGCCAGACATTACATCACTTTTTACTTGAAAGTTTCTGCAGATCTTTGTGTTTTGGTCATTTCCTTATGTCCTTATACAGACAGTGACTACCTTATAAACATGGTGTCAGAACCATTTTAAAAGTGGGGGACGCTCTGTTGGGGGGTCGGGGGTCCTCTCCTGTAAAATTTTGGATGAAATAGATGCCCTTACCTGCATTCTGGTGTATTTTACCAGGTTGTTAAACATACTTTTCCCTATAAATGAATACTTGATTTAATAATCATTTCAGAGACAGATTCTTCATTAAACTATATCATCCTGTTTTTAAACTCACTGCTACAGCTGAGGTAAGGTTAATTAATGTGACACAATTCATCATATCCGATGACTTTAGGGGTGATTTTTACTTTTATATTGTTTATTGATTTATTTTTAATTGTAACATGTCATTGTGACAAATAATGATGACCCTCAACTGCATGTTTAAAACTAATTAATACCCAATGAACAGGTGCAATATTGATAACCACCAACAGTGAATTTAGAGGGGTGTTTCACTTCTTCTGATTTAGTGATAGGTCTACTCAAAACCAAACACAAAGCATCATGCAGCCTTCAGAACATCAAATGACACTGTGTTATACATGCACTAAATAAATAAAGTCCAAACGATGACATCATAAGTCAGATTACAGGCGTAAGTTCTGTATATAAAGAAAACCATCCCTTCCTTGTCATTATTCTTCTTCAGTGATAGAGCTTGGTAATGTTTCAAACTGTTAAACACTGCCACCAACTGTTCAGGAGGATTATTACACCCCTAAAGGTTGTTTCGCTGTGTAAGGGGTGAGTACAGCAGGGTGGCCAATGGGGTGGCCAAAGATTTGTCTGTGGTGGCCATGGCCACCCCTGGCCACCTCCTGGCTCTGCCCCTGCACTCAAAAAACAGATATGTTGGACTTAATAAATAAATATGTCAACTGGTTCCACTCAACTGTGAGCGATGAGGTTTGAAGCATCTTTGGGATACGTGGGGCTCAGCTTGGTTTGGAAGTGAGAAAGATCGTTTTGAGTTGRGTACCTCTGGATTAAAGCATTTGTTTCATTTTATTGTTATAAAAATTAAGTTATCACAAATCAAACTGCTTTTTTTTTTTGCACTCTAAAGCACTTCTGTATATTTCTGTGCACTGACAAGCCAGAAACGTGGTTTATTTGGATCTGGTGCCATAATATATTTGTCTATTTTGTGTTTATTTTTGATTTTTTTTCTTTCCCTCCGCGAAGATAAAACGCAGCGACAAAACATCATTAGGCCTCAGCGGCCGTCGGAGCGTCTCTCCCATGTACCGCAGTGATTGTTTTTATGTTCTGCATGTTTTCTGGCAGCCCACTTTCACACCACCGCGGCAGAAGTTTMGACTCCCCCCTGGCTCTGCTCGCTGTGACGTATTGAAGGATGGCAGCGGCTCATAGGAGAGATGAGTGTAAATGAGAGCAGGAATAGATGGAGCAGTGCCTCGGCCAGAAAGCACATCGATTCTGCACCCTTTAAAGCTTCCTGTTACCTCCTCCCTGTCTGATAAATGCCGTTCCTCGTTTTGGTTTACAGTGCAGCTGTGCAGGCTGCATACAGAGCGAGGCTTGCAGGGGGACATCAATACACAGTGATGTATGCATCCCCTTTAGGCATTTTACTCCTGAGTCATGATCAGTAGGAGAGAGCTGAGGCACTCTGTTGTGAAATTTCATTTCACGCTTTGTGTGTCTATTGATTTTTTTTTGGTTTTTAGCCAAAATCTGTCACTATATTGTCAAAAGGCCAGGTCCCCTCTGCTCTTATGGCTTAAAAATGGACAGAAACAGATTTTTCTTTCTCATCTTCTAAGTGTGGCACAGCTGGATGCCTAAACAATTGAGTGTCTTGTGTGTGTGTGTCCTCTTCACCTTTGCTCTTAGAGGCCTGGGTCTCGGTTTCCTTTGGGGTTCGGAAGCGCAGCGGCTCGCTCAGCGGGCTCGTCCCGGACATGCTGATAGACTGAACGTGCACGATGTAGTCCGTCTCCTCCTCCAAGTCCCATAATGTGCAGGAGCGTGTGGTGGTGTTGACTTCCTGGATGAACCGCAGCATGCGCACGTCTTTCTTCTGTTGGAGCAGAAAACAGAGGTGACACTTCAGGAGTTAAATCTTTGCCTTTAAAATAACACGAAACAAGCAAACTAAAGGGAACCTGAAGCTCTTTATAAAGACRCCGTCACAGGTCCTGCACATGATGCCAAAAGTGTTGCCACTACTGCTGATTGCCAAGTGAGCTTTTGTTTTGTTCGGATTGGTCTTTCAGTTTATATAACTTGGAGCTCAGCCGACTCATTTGCATAATGGACAAACTGGAAGCAGATTCTTGTCTGCAATCCATCAAAGTAGTAAGATGGGGATTACCAGATGACACACACAGCAAAACTTTCTTGATGATTTTGTTTTTCTTGTATAGCACCTGTTAGCAGAGGTTTATAGTAAYTGAGTACATTTACTTCGCTACAGTACTTAAGTAGTTTTTTTGAGGATTTGTAATTTTACCAATTATTTTTTTAAATACCTACTTTTACTTTAATTTTGTTGCACTTTAAAGCTAAAATTGATACTTTTACTTATTTACTTTAAGATGTAACAGCTACTCGTTACAAAATATGTTCAAACTCATGAAAGATGTTTCTGCACTCTAAAAAATGAAATGTTGAATTTATTTTACCAAGTCATGCCAGCTATTTTCACTAGTTGAGTAAAGTGAGCAACAAATATACATAGAATGCTCAATTTACTAGATGTGGCTTAGTGGAACCAGTTTGGTTCAGTAAATTCAACAGTTTATTTCTTAGAGAGTGTGTAAAAGTACTTTTACTTTTACTTTCCTAATTTTTGCGAGCAGTTTTATAACTTTTACTTGAGTAGTTTTCTCATCAGTGAAATTTATTTTTACCAAAGTCATTTTCTGTCATTGTAATTTTACTTTTACTTAGTTTTTTCCCCCAAGTACTTTATAGACCTCTGCTGATAATGTGTTTTAAAATAATAAGTAATACTTTTTTGTTTGGTAGAAAAAACATAAAGACTTTTAAAACAACCAGTTTCTAAAAGATAATTTATTTTAAAGAAAATAATGCAAAAATATGTACTATACAGTACAGTGATGCTGGAAGCGTAAAAATGAGAGACAAAGGTTGTGCATTTCTGTACCACCACGTCTGTTCCTCACCTGCTGGGTGATGGCAAAGCCGATGACGAGGTCTCCCTCTGGGATGTCCCATGACACCACGGCAGAGTTCGCTTTCACCTCTTTGATGGTCACATTGACGGGAGGCGACAAGCTATCTGCACACAAAGACACAGAAACAGAAGGTTTTTGTTCCGTCTGTAGAACAACGCGCTGAAATTTCCACCAGCGTGGCACAAAGCCAAATTCAGTGGTGTGAATAAGTGGCCTCGGCTCAATCTATTATATGAGCTGGGATTCATGACGAAGTGCAGAAACAGTAAAACAAATCCTCGCAGTGGAAGGGAAGATTTAGTGCAGTCTGTGGGATATAATCAGTGGCTTCATTTATCTCACTGAAACTTTGTTTCTAAAGGTTTGGAGCTGAAACTTTTCATCTTAAAAATTACTATTTCTGTGCATTGAGATATATCGATACAAATCTTTCAGCACTGGACACGGTGAGATAAAATTTTGTGCACATAATGAAAGCAGCCACTGCTGCACTGTTGCCTCACATCAAGGTGATCCTGGGTTCAAGCTCTGGGTTGAATGCAGTGTTGTATAAAGTACTGTACCTCAAAATGATATTTGAGTAAAAGTGTCCTGATGCATCTCAGTAATCCAGGTAAAAAATCAAAAAGAAAAAAATTGTATAGGTCCTCTGGACGGGTTCTTCTCTRATKAAAYGTTTCGTCTCTCCTCCAAGAGACTTCTTCAGTCTGAGAGTTTCAGGCAAAATTCAGGCTTTTAAGCACTGCCTCCATGTGACTGATACTCACATCACATGGCTATCGTTGACACCTAATTAACACTTATTGTTAACAGGGGGYGGAGTGATACTGGCAATAGCCGTGCTGTAGGAGGGGGACAACTGAAAACGGAGGCCTCCACCTCTGTTTAATGATGGACGGTCTTTCTTCACAAAAATGGCTTCTTTTACTCCTCTCTCAAACCAACGTTCCTCTCTATCAAGARTGAGAACATCCTCATCTCTGAAAGAGTGACCGCTGGCCTGTAAATGAGTGAAAACTGCAGAGTTCTGGCCATTAGATGTAGCTCGTCTGTGTTGGGACATTCTTTTGAACAGTGGTTGCTTTGTTTCCCCGATAAATAAATGGTCGCAGTCCTCCTGGCACTTAACAGCATATACAACATTGCTCTGTTTGTGCCGGGGCACCGGATCTTTGGGGTGAACCAGCCTTTGCYGTAATGTGTTTTGGGGTTTGAAAGCCACTAGGACATCATGTTTAGAAAATAAACGTGTCAGTTTCTCCGAAACACCCGCAACATACGGAATAACCACTGGTTTGGGTCTGGGTTTGGGGTCTTCATTTTCACCTGAATGTTGCATGGAATCCTGTCTGTGTTTCCTGTCTGCTTTCAGGAAAGCCCAGTCAGGATAACCACACTGCTCCAGGGCCTGTTGGCAGTATCACTCCACCCCCTGTTAACAATAAGTGTTAATTAGGTGTCAACAATAGCCATGTGATGTGAGTATCAGTCACATGGAGGCAGTGCTTAAAAGCCTGAATTTTGCCTGAAACTCTCAGACTGAAGAAGTCTCTTGGAGGAGAGACGAAACGTTTCATTAGAGAAGAACCCGTCCAGAAGACCTATACAATTTTTTCTTTTTGAGTAAAAGTATCTTAACATAAAATTACTTTGGTAAAAGTTCTATTTCTTACCTTTATTTTAAGTGTAAAGAGTAGAAAGTACAGGTAGCTGTGTGAAAATGTAAGGACTAGAAGTAGAAATAAGTAAAAAGAAGGCTAAAAAATAAATACTCAATAAAGTACWGAWAACCARACTTTCTACTTATGTACAGTAACRAAGTATTTGTACTTAGTTACTTTACAACTCTGATTGATTGTGGGGTCTTTTTGTGTGGTGTTTTTGTGTTCTCCTCATGTTTGCTTGAATTAAATGAATGCTGAATTTGATAATCTATGCTCATCATGGAAATAAGATGTTCAAATTTTCCAAAGCTTTTCTTCTCAGGATGACTTGAAATCAGATAATTTTTATAAAAATTTTTTTATAAAGTGTGGTTGGACTTTGCATTCTGGGAAATTTGCTAAAAGACAAAATAACGTAGATGTTAAGTCTTAGAATACAACTTAATTTTTTTATTTGCAAAATATTGTGAAATTACTACCTCACAAAGTGAAGGTAAAGGAGTCAGAAGATGCTCACAGATCCAAAATCCAAAAATAACCAAAACCTGGCCATTAAAACATCTTTTAGAATGCAAAATTTCATTAAATGTCAACACGTTTTCACAGATTCATGCAGAAATTTTGGGGGTTTGGTGGTGTGACTGATGATTCTAYGGATGTCTTATTGCTGATCTGTCAAAGAAATTAAAGGCAGCCTCTATATTTGCAGCTGTTTCACAATTATGAAACTGTTTTCATTTCTCAAAGCCACACTAAATAATTAACTTCATCTTYTTACTGCTGTCTCTCTTTCATTACTTGAAAGTATCCTGATGCATCTCAAGAAATGCAAACAAAAAAAAAAAATCTCTTTCCAACAGAAATAGAGACATCTGTGACCTTTGACCCATTCTAAAAATATCTCCATCCACAACGTGTGTGTTTAGTTCAGTATTATGTTTCAAACACACCTCTGCTTTAATTAGGGTCGCAGTCTACAAGAGTTGTGCATAATAATTTGCTTTCATTWGATAATTAGTTGTGAGATTGTGTGCGTCTCAGTGTGCACTTTGGTGGCCTCAGCGCCTGAGGAATAATTGTCGATAATCATGCAGCTCAAGATTGAACAAAAATAATGACAGTCGCCGTGCAGATCAGACATTTTCTGATTACATTTCTGTGACGTGTTTCTGAACTCGCAAACAGTTTTTGATTAGATCTAAATTACACGGCTACAAATTTGGACAAATTGCTATTAGTGACAGCAAATGGGTGAAAGTGAAGCTTAGCGCTCACTTTCTAAAAGAAATAAAAATAGATTCCGCTTTTATGTCTCTTCTGTGTCAAGCCTCTATGGAAGAGAATTAGGGCCACTGAAAAAAAGGAATTCTGACTTTAATCTCAGGATTCTGAGATTAAAGTCAGAATTCCTTTATTTTTTCAGTGGCGCTGATCCTCTTCCGTAAGCCTCTCTAGAGACACACTGATGTTTGTTTTGTGAGGCGGAGCAGAAAGGAGAGTAAAGATAAGAGGTGTTGAGTTTAGCGAGACCACTCCACAGTCTTTAAGGGGCCATAAATCTTATTCAGCCAATCCAAAAAAAAAAAAAAAAAAAATCAATGAGTCATTGAATAGGTTAGCGCTGATTCACACTTGGACCGACACGGCCCTCATGGTCGGTGATTACAGGACAGCAGCGCAGCTACTGTACGTTCACAGACAGGGAGCAGAATCCAAAGCAGGCTTCAGTGTTTGGAATCAACTTGATGCTGCTGCTTGTGACGTTTTGATGAATGACCTGACTAACAGCGGATGACAGGATGGAGACTCGCTGCATCTCTTCATCAGTGGAGTGGAGGTGTGTGTGTGTGGACTCTGATGTTTGTAGTGGATTTGTGTTGTTTACTGTCTACTGTTTACTCGTTTAGCCTGAAGGACCAGGCGTCTGAGGCTGTGATGTCTGCTGGGACTGAAGGAATTACAAATGAAGCTTAACGTCTCTCTGCTGGTGCTCGCTTACTCGCTGCTTAGCTTCTGGAAACACATTTATTTCCCCAGCTATGACACCGTCACTTTGTTGACAAATGCTAAAACGGTACTTTGAATCATCCTGGAAGAACATAAAAAGGGAGTCTTTGTGATTCATGGACCATTCATGGTTTTACTTGTTTTTCTGCCTCAGCACACTTGATTTAACTTAATGGATCGTCGCCGGCGTCGGCTGAACTCGATGATATGCTGAAGAGATAATTCAGTCATTTGAATCCGATCTAAAACATACAGGGTGGGTTCTGATGAAACGCTGACCTAATTCAATCTCCCTGCGTCGATATTCTAAAGGCACAATTGAATCAGAACCCAGAGGAAGMAGACAACTGGATTCCTTCAGTTTCTGACTGGGTGGTCCAAAGTGAACTTTTCCAACTTTTCACATTCTTTATGTATTAACCTCTTAAGCCCCAAGGGGTTTTCTTGATGTTTTTGCTCAAAATGCTATGCCAAAATGTAATTGAGTGTATCTTAGCATTTACAAACTTAAATAATCCTGATATCAAAATAAAGCTGGAACTTGGTAGATTTCATCAGAAGTGTAAGAATTAAAACAGCTGCTGTGGTTTTAGAGATATTGAGGATGGAACATAATTATTTTTCTCACTCTCACCTGAATAATTTTCTCATTAGACAGTATATAACCTGTTTAAAACCATAACGAATCAAGCTAAAAACTCTTGGAAACCATAAATCCACTTGTGGACATTACCTGTGCAAAGATTCATGCTGCTCAAATTAACTGGAGTAAAGTTACAGAGGCTATAGTGAAGACATAATTTTGCGTTTTGTCATTCTGCACAGGACAGACCATGTTAATAAATGTTAAGAAAGTTTTTAACTGTAAAAGTTATGTTGGGCTCTGTTGGGCAGGAGCTGGGCTGCAGACTGAGCTCCGGGGAGGAGCTTTGGGTAAATAGGCGGTGCTTTGTACCTGCAAGCATTTTGGCAGCTCCACATGTCTATCACAGTAGATTCAAGGATTTCTCAAACATGCATGAAGGAGTCAAAGCAACACTCTGGGTGTGTGTTTGATGAGGGAATGACTTTATAACATGATATGAAGCTTTTGCATAAACCTCCCTCATCCCCTTTAACATTTCATTTTATTTACGTTAAAATGTACTTAAACAAAAACTATTTTGTTTTCAAATGAGAGCAAAATAMAATAAAATTCGTTAAAAAAGTGTAAACCGAGGGAGGTGAGATCACCTTTTCTTTAATGARGTGAATGCAAAGTGATGATGAGGTGGTTTAAAAATACGTACTATTTCTCTCAGAGAGAATATCTTGTGTTTTTATACTGGGCTTATTATATATTGTTGTATAAAATAAATTACATATGTCCTAGAAAACATATCGATCCTTCCAAGATGTGAAAGTGAAGCTTTAAAATATAAATACCCCACACA